AAAGATTTCCAGGGATGCTTCCAGGCTTGGCAGCGGCGCTGGGATCGTTGTGTTCACTCCCAGGGGAACTACTTCGAGGATGATGGATGAATTTAATACCTGAGATAAGTGTACGGGTTTTTATACGCGCAGTCTTGAAACTTTCCGATCGCACCTCGTATGAACACTGCAATTCCTGGACCCCCTAACGGAAATAATGTGAATTATGTCTTGAATAACAATATAATTATTAGCCCTCTTCACAAAACAAATCGGCATTACAAGCTTTAGTATTTAGTTACATGACTGTGAAATATTAAAGGTTGTAATGTTAATTTGTTGTGTGAAAACAATAATATTATTATTGTTACTTAATTCAATCATAACATGACGTTCCAGGGTAATCGAATTTGTCTTACTTGTGATACACTGGTAGGATGATCTTAGGTCTATATTTAGGTTTAAGTTAAAAGATGATTACAAACATATAAATAACACTATAAATTACAAGAGTCTGACATACACTGATGCGAAATCTTATTAATGAAGTTCAAGGATACACAGTTAATTATTCTGTGAAGTGTTATATCTACGCATATACATTTTGAAAACATATGTAAATTTTAGACTCTGTTGGAGTGTACGTTTCCGCTCTTATTAAATTAGAAAGCAAACACTATGGTGTTTAGTTTAACACTATCACTTCTTTAAAGCTTGATAACATTGGCTTAGTCGATTAGTCGCTAGCTTCTCACCGCCGAGACCCATGTTCACGCATATTTCCACAGAGACATAACCTCACTCCTGTGGTAACAATAAAAAAGATATTATATGTGTGAGTGCGTGTGGGGAGGGGGGGGGGACAATACCAGGAAAGTATTCAATAGATTCTCTACAAAAAACAGCCATACCAAGAACATCACACATTATAAGGAAAGTGTTACAATCAGATACTTGAAATCTGAGTGGTGTAGTTTTAGCTTCAGTTCGAGAGGAACAGTACCAGGAAAACCTACGAAGAAAGAATAATAATAATTCAATTCATTTATTAAAGTGCTTGACAACAGCCAAAAAGGCCAATAACAGCCAAGCATAATAATAATAATATACGGATTGGACGTGGCAGTAAATACCAGCACCCGTGTTACGTCACACGGGGTTGGCAAAGAAGCAGTTCGCAACATACCTAAATTGCCAATTAAGTGCATTTATTAGTATGAAACTTATTTTAATTTGTTATAGAATGAAATTATTATTGTTGTTACCAAGAAGATGCTAATCAAGTGAATTAATGAGTGGTTCGTGTGGGTATTTTGCTCACCTGATCATTTGCTCATAAAAGAAAACGTGTTTCATAGTGACCGCGCCTCAGACCCGTGGCGCCACTTAAGATTCTGACCATTCATCTTTGCAACAGCTGTCATGGCTTTGGCATTCACTCGAGGTCGCCTGCTTTTGCTACTCTTTTTACCATTTTGGACGGACCTGTAGGCACATGCAAAAAAATAATCGCATACCAGCTTTATTAAAAGAGGAAGAGTTATTTCGTAAATAATCTCAAGTACTTTGCAAGCACTCTGGTAAAATAATGCCAGGATAACCTTGAAATTACATAAACTGCTTGTTAGATAAGTAGTAAACTATGGCAGCCGGACAGAGACATTGGACGATAGAGATAAGAATGTAATAAATGAGACAAACTGATAACTTTAATACGCCTGCCCTTCGTTGGACATTTGCCTACATGATTAAGCAATAGCGTAAGTGGATAGTAAGACTAGAATAATGAAGAGTTTTGGATAACGTTAATGAGATGGCAATATCATTGAAATAAAACGTAATTATGAATTTTATAAAGCAGAATAAGAGGAACACCGACACACTGAAATAGGATTTGAGGCTGGTACAGGCGTTAGATTTTCTATCGCCGTGTTCCTCAGACTTCATGCAATGGTCACGTTAGTATTTCACTTCATAATTGAGCCGGGATAGCTCAGTCAGTATAGTGACTAGCTACGGGCTGGACGACCGGGGTTCGATCCCCGACGGGGGCAGAGGATTTTTCCTCTATCCTCTGCGTCCGGACCGGCTCTGGGGCCCCCCCAGCCTCCTATCCAAAGGGTACCGGGGACCTTTCCCGGGGGTAAAGCCGGCCGGGGCGTGATGCTGACCACTCACCCCCATCTAGTGCCGAGGTCAAGGAAGAGAGGAGCTATACCTCCACTCACCCCAAGCGCCTACATGGCGTATAGCGGGACAAACTTTACTTTACTTACCAAATTATACAGAATGAGCACAAAATAACTTTACACTTTCAAAATTATACAGAAACAGAAGACATGCTTAACTCATGGTTTCTGCCCCAATTGAAAGAGCATTCTAACGACTTTTCTTCCATAAAGATGGGGCACCGCCTCAGTTCCACGTGGCTGTTTGGAACCTCATGAACGCGTACCTTCTACGGAGATGGATATTGTTCGGTCATGCAGGAGACGGTGACGTCGTGTGGTGTAGATGGCCACCGAGATCGCCAGACTTAACTCAGTGCGACTTCTTCTTTTGCGGCTACATAAAAGACAAAATTTTCGTCCCGTTCGATCATCGTCTCGACATCTGCCATGTGACTCGCGGAGTACAAACCGTGACGTGTGAACAAAATTTTGAGAGGTTTTCTATCGACTAGTGTAGGTGTGAAGTTCTAAGTACGACACTTTTTTGCCTGTATTATTTTGAAAGTATAGTTCTTTTGAGTTTATCGTATATATTGATTTGCAGTGGCATATGAGAAACGTCGAATTAGCAGCGATTTAAGGAAGAAAAAACCATACACGACCATGAGGTGTCAAGGGAAAATTGAGTGAGATCTCCTTGTAATTACTTAATTCTGTGAATTAATCATTTTAAAAGCGAAGAAATGTATTGTGTTCTGTGAGAAATATTGAATTAATGAAGAAGATAATAGTTGGGAGAGGATAAATTTCTACAAAATCTAGTTGGTGATCTTCCCTGAGACAAACCGCCCAAGAGACTTTTGCGTATACAGAATGATAATATAAGGTGAATTTTACAAAATCAAGCAGTGTCAGTGGTGGTCTTCGTTGTTTATACAAGCTTACCTTGTGAATTCCACATCAACCGAAATAAGTTACGTTAATGTTTTGTAAACAAGGTAGAAAATTTTTTTTTATAGAATCAGTTATCTTGTTACGTAAAGATACCTGTTCATATTAAACGAAGAGTCTAGAACACTTTTTGATTGACGAGACGAAAGTCTTATTGGAAATTCAAGTTTAGGGGAGCTGCAAAAGCTAACCCTCTCCGAAGCTTAACTACGTGACCTGTTCTTTCATTAAACGCACACGAAGTAATACATGAAATATTAATATAAAACTCTCAGATAGAAACACTGTGATGTTGATATGGAAGATATCAAACTGGTTTCTGATGCCTTTTATCTCTGCTCTAAGCACAAGCGGACCTCTAGGTGTTGAAACCACCGATTTTCTTTTCCGTGTTTATGCCTGCGTAAATTAAAACTCGTGGATGCATAAAGTCAGACTGTCTCGATTGACTGTAAACTACTGTACTTAGTTTTAGTTTCAGTCTGCAAACTGAGAAGTCTAGTCAGCTGACCGTCCGATTAATTCTTAGTACAAATTGACGTGTGTCTGTTGGAGGGGGGGGGGGCAGGAGTAGCATGCTGATAAATTTGTATCATGTAAGACTTGAGGTTCTCACAGCGGTGAATATGAAGATTTCTGTCTTCTGGGTTATTGCGCTGTGTAGTCTGGTCGATGTTAACCAACGTTTCAGAGGTCATACTGCCTCCGTCATCAGGGCGATGACGGAGGCAGTATGTGCAGGAGTCTGTAAATGGAGACTGTAAGATTCTGATCGTAAATCTGTGCTGCTGAATTTCATATGGCCAACCTAATAGTGACTCAGGTAATCAAGAAATTCTTCTCCTTTTATGGAACATAAAGGTTTTTTAAGGTGTTTACAAGAGTCCGCCACTGATACTTGTTTGAGGAAGATTAACTTCGCTTTTCGGATGTTTCTTTTATTACAAATTAATTAGAAATATGGCGAATACGCGAACGTAGATATACAGAATGTTCAATTTAAAAATCAACTTTTGGTACTAGACACGAACCCCTTAAGACACAGAACTACGAAACCTGTGGCAATATTGAATTCTTGTAGTCGTATTCCGTTGTAGGAGCTGATGCACTGCTTTAAATCGATATGAGCACAATTTAATTTGTTTCGTCGCTCGATGAGCATTTGTCACAGATAAGTTCTTCCTGTGCTCCTAAATCTTGTTACAGTCGATCTATCGTTGTTTTATTCATTTCTTGTCAGGATACGCCATCTATGTTCTTCTCGGACAGCAGCAATCGATTTCGATTTGAAGTATTGTTCGAGAATGGGCACGCGTTCTGATCGACATTCGCACAAAACTGGCGCGAGCAGCGGCCTAGCAAACAAGATGCCACAGGGGAGGTCCGGAGAGTCTGTTGCATGTGGGTGGGCCCGCTTCTGATTACATTTTTGTACCGAAGTGTGTGATTTCGTTTGGTTGCTTTTTAAATGGTACTTTCTGTACTACCTAAAGCCAAAACAGTGACTGTAACAGTGATTTACTAGAACTAGTTGGCCTAATATAAATTGTATGTGTTAGATTAACATGCATGTTTTACGGAGTATTTATTTTATGACTTGGTGAATACTAACATGGCGACCGTGATGAATTTTGAAGTCATATCTTACCTCAGGACTGAAGTTACAAACCACAAAATCGAAAGTGGGTGAAATATTGTTGCGAATATTTACAGAGAAATAAAAGAATGTTTAATTTTACGCGTAATTCTTGGACGTACTAACCTTAATACAATGAGGTAATATATCTATTTGTTTATCCTTTCAATATTTAGGATATGCAGTTTAGGTCCAAAAACGAATGTTTCGCGTGTTTTGCAGCTTGTTCGATCAACAGATCACATTTTTAAACACTGCTCACATCATGTATTGGGCAGCTGTAATGGCAGGCCTACACCTAACTTGACACTCCAAGCACGACTTTCCAAGGCTATGATTTCTGCATCCTGGCCTTCACGTAACCTTGTAGAATTATAGCTCATGTTATTGCAATGTCATTTTACGATTTCTTCTCTTGTCGTTATAATAATAGCCGATCAGTAGAACAATGCAACTAATCCAGTGACGTAAAATTGCTTTCAGTGCATGTAAAATTGATGTTGCAGTTATTCTTGACGCCTCAGTTATCACACTCTTTTCCTAAGTTAAGTGCCTGTATCTTTGCAGATAAATACTGTAAATTGTTGTGTATTTTGTTAGTTAAGTCTTTAAAGTACAGAGATAACTATGTGTACCTTTTACTTTAACACTCGGTAACTGCATTTATATGTCGTAAGACTCTCAAAGTAACTAGGGATTATTTCCCTAAACATCATTAACCAATTGATGTTTGTGCTTCCAGGTGGAAAGCTTGCTTAATGCTATAGACTTGAACAACTTTTCATCTTTGCTAATAACTTAATTGGTTTGTGAAGGAAATGTGAGAGGAAGCTAGGCGTAGATGAAAGAACAATTAAAATATTTCATTGAAGAAAGATAACATGATTTTGTGTCCCAGCGGCGGACTTTTGTAAATCCGGTTAATTTCGTGACCGGCTTAGAAACTATTGGTTTCTAAAGTAGGACTTTTCTATACGGAGTTGGTGAAATAGTAAATAACATAGATTTCTTGGTGTTTAAAAATTAGATAGACTTGCATTATGTTTTTTTTTTCCAAATTTCATAGGCCTAGTAGGTATGGATCCTTGCCATCTTTAATATGTGCCAATATTATAGTTGTGTATAAATATGAGAAAGGAGCGAAACCATCGAAATGCAATGTAGAGATTCATCTTGTCACGTGATCTGAGAAATTTGTGATCTTTTTTACGTTCCAAATTAACGACATGCATCCCCGCCGAATCCAGATTCGGTCTCTAATTTGAACTGAGTAATCAGACTGGATTTGGTATAGCAGTATATTGCAAACCTGCCAGCTGATTTCGTGTGAAAATATCATGCTCGGTTTTAATTATAAAGGCGGAAACAGAGCTAATTTTAAGCTACATTTAATAACATTCGCGTATTAGCTGAAATTATCCAGAAATATCACTAAATGTTATAATTATTACTTTATAATTTCCTTTAATTTGAAAGCACATGGATTCTTAAGTTCTTGTTAATAATTATTGTTCATAAAATTTATTAAACGAAATGAGAATATTTCGTTTAAAGAGATATTTATCTGTAATAAAATAAACAAATAGAGGATAACATTGCACAGTGATAACATCCGTGATGTTGTCTTTCGATACGTTCTGACCGGATAATTAAATATCTTATTAGCAAGTAACGTGTTATTATCGTTATTATTTTATCGCGTTTTCAAAAGCTTGATAAATGATGTGAGAGGATTACCAAGCGACGTTCTTCAGTCGGTTAGTCATTTTAGTGAAATCAAGTCCCGATGACAAACTGAATACCCAACACATTCTACACATTTCTTCTTATTAATATTGTCGGTAAACTTAAAACTTTGCATACCGTGTAGTGTATTGGAATATAAAAATAAGCAAACAAACAAACTGTTAACACTATAAATGATACTAATGCCAAACGAGTTTCGACTTCAAGAACTCATCATCAGTGGCAAAAGGGGAATCTCCCTTTTGCCACTGATGATGACCTCTTGAAGTCGAAACTCGTTTGGCATTAGTATCATTTATAGTGTTAACAGTTTGTTTGTTTGCTTATTTTTATATTGTCGGTAAAGGTACTGTCTCCACATTCCATCTTATGCGACGTCCCGATACCCTGCGCTTCAGAGGATCTTGAATGTCATTGAGACCAAGACTTTGTCCAAGTTTTGGTTACATCTAAACCTGCATATTCATTACACCATTTTGTTACATTTATTTGTCGGTGATAAGTTATGTTTATCCGTCAGCAAGAATAGTTTGTGATATTTTCTCCTCATTTTCACGTTTTTCTTTAACATTTTAACAGAAGTGACTGCATTCTTGATTAATGTTTGCAGTCTGTCAACTTAAATACATGTTGCGTCACCCCACTATTATCTAACGCCATGGAGCAGAGTACATATTTCAGTTGCTTCCATGGATTTTATGATTGCTATTTATTTGAGAAGGAGTATTGAATTAGCATGTTTCAGTTTTATAGGAAAAGTTGAATGAAATTCACCACAAGATTGAGAGCTAAACAGGGTGCACTACTTAATGTTCTAAAATAACTGCTGCCGATTACGAAAGTTACTTCCACCCATACTTGTACATATTATTAAATTATTTTCTAGGACACTCTAAATATTTCAAACCCCTACCATGAATAATAATTAAAATGACAAAGAAAATACAGTTTCTTTTTACCATAAGACAGAGCGCTTAATATAACATAACATATCGAATGGCTGTGATTCACCATTCTCTAGTGAAGTGACTGTTACATCCAAAGTCTGTCTAGTGACCTTGCCAAATAAATCGTGTATAAATAAGTTTTGGATGACTTTCAGTTGCCACTAAGCTGCCTTAATTTGCATGTTGAACAAATAAAGAGGCGAGCATGCACGTCGCTGCAGTCCCAACCTGCTGCCCTTGCTGTCGGCTGCTGAACTGCAGTCATTTTATGGTATTCCACGACCGCGCCGTAGCTCAGGTGGTTAGTCACCGGCTTTCCACGGCAGAGGCCGGGTTCGCGCTCAAGTCAGTACGTGCGGGATTTGCGGTTTCCAAAGTGGCACTGGGAGAGGTCCTTCGGTTTCCCCTGCCAATATAATTCCACTGCTGCTTCATATTTGCTCGTATATCATCTGGGGGTGGGCAAATAACCCGTTAAAGGCAAGGGTTTTAAAAAGACAGTTTAACAACATTAGCAATAACAATGATTCTGCACGTCATTTGCCCTTGTTTCAAACCTTAATGCCCTTTTGTATCTTCGAGAGTGATCCTTTGGCTTCAACTCTTTGGCTGTTTGGATACAAGACCTTTAAAAATAGATTTTGTGAAACATTCGACGCTGTGAAGACTTATAGAGGGAGTGGATGTAAAGCTTCATACATTTTTACCTCGGCATTAGATGAAGGCCGATTTCCGGTTTCACATTCCGCCACTTTACACCGGGATGAAGAGCTCCTCGGGCCTCGGAGGGCCTGAGAGACCGATTGGACTGATAGCTACGAGGAAAATAATACCTCTACCGAGAATCGAATTCTGGTTATCCAGTCAGGCAGTTTATTGACTGAGATACCTTGCCACATTATAACTTATAGCCTATCATATGGATTAATATACTTATACTATTTATGATTGTAACATTCGTCTGAAATAGTTTATCAGTTAGGACTGTACTTAAAATTCAAGTACAATATGCCTACAATTTTAGCTTAAAATATAGTACCAGATTTTCAAACTACAATTTTGTACGAATTTCTTATCTGATCCATGTATGCTACATGCTCCACCCATTTGTCCTTCTTGATTTAATAATAACTGGTTAAGAGTAAAATTATCAACTCCTCTTTTCACCTTCACTTTCCTCCAGTTCCTTTTGATTTTCTCCTTCATAGGTCCAGATATTCTTCTCAGCACCGTGTTGTCACACGCCTTTAATCTATGCTCTTTCGTTTAATGTGATAGGCGAAGTCCCACGGCCGTACAAAACAAAATCTCATCCAAATCTAATGAAGAATTCAGAGCTTAGAGTTCGTAACGGATGATGAAGATGTGTGCAGACAAGTGCACGCAGTATGGCTACGGTGTCCTTCGTTTCATGCACATTTAGAACGCCTGAAATTATTGTCAGAAGCGAACTGAAGGACAGCGCAAGGTGACATGGATGGTCCGTGTGTCGGTGTATCGTATTGCCGACAATGTGAAATTGCAATTTAAAAGCACTTGTCGGCGGCAGGCTGGCTGAGAATCTGTTGCTTCTGAATAAAAACTTATGTGCAATGTTTCAATGACAAAACAAGAACCTTATTTTTTTTTCAGTCCTGGATTTAGAATGTACAGACAAAATTGCGCAAACGAGGAACAACTGTCTGAACCTTGTTATTCATGCAGCGATTTATAGTGACATCTTGAGTACATCCACAAACTACGGGCCACTATTAGTATTGATATTAATTATTAATTGTGTTTAATGGCGCCTGTAGTTTTAATTGAACGAACTATGTGTGAGAACGTGCGGATGAAGTACTCCGTAGGTCCACATGTCCTAAGTTGGTATTGTGCGTCATTGGTGTGTGATGCCCACTGTTTAATCATGCACACGGATACACACTGCAAGGTCTCGGCTGACGTAATTTAGGGGCCCAGCCTTTGGAGTTTGGACGTGATTCCTCTTCTCAGTATTCTTGCATCATGCCTACACGAGTTTACAGTCACACAGAAGTACCTGATAGCTTTGCAGTGCTGTTAACGTTCTCTAATCCCTCTTCTATATAAACAGCAAAAGCACATGATTTTGAGAAGGAGGGGTAGGACAGAGACTTATTATGGATCTGAGGAAACCAGGTTTTGAGTATAGGAGGTGCGTCCAGCTGACAGGATCGTTTCCAGTGGCGGACTCCGGTGTTAGCGGTGTAGAACCTTCGACGTTTTACTGCCAGAAAGTGAACTAAGTTATTTAGTGTTTGCATTACATCGTTACAGATCTTCTGTTCTACTCACCCGGCAAATTAGAATGTCTTGTGTATAACGTAGCGTAATAGCTAAATTACTAGCATTCTTTGCAAAAGTCCTCGAAGTCTGCGCAGCTGTCACATTATATATCTTCAGTGGTTTAGATATTTGTAGTTCCGGCAGAGTTCTTAAATAATTGAAACACATCGGACTATAATTTCTATTCAAAGCGTCATGGCACGTAACAATTTAATATACTATGATTGCTACTTTTTATGCGGATGATGCCACCTAATTTGGATTTCATGGGTGTAATCTTCGGTGTATGCACACGCATGCAGTTTTACAATGAGTTATTGATCACAACGAATGGGTGTGCTGTCTTTCGGAAATGAATTTAACTCAATGGCATGAGGACCACTGACCCACTGGGCTACTGGCAGTGATTTTAACAATAGTGCATTGTGGTGACAGTCGATGCATTACGTAGGCCATTTCCTCTCAGTTCAGTCATCACGGCATGCATAATCCCACGAATCTAACATTAACAAATTTGAAGGTCTTTATCAAATACATACAGTTGTAGTAAACAAAAGTAACTAAGTAACTTCAGTTACTGGAAACACCGCAAAC